AGGGGGAGAGGTGTGCATGGTCACAGAGTCAAGATGACCCCCAGCTTCCTCCCCACAAATGGCAGCTGTACCCCTCACCGGGGTCCCTCGGCCACCAGTCCTGGAATCTGACCCTGGGCTGAGTTGGCCTCTGAATGTCCACCTGCCATTGCTGCCCGGCCCCCAGCAGCCACCCCACCCCCAACCCCTTCCGACTGGGAGCTGCCCTCATACAGCCAGTGAGATGTCCACGGCCTGCCCTCCAGGCACCGAAACTCCCTCTCTCCATTTCTCAGCTGAGACGCTGGCTGGGGCAGGACAGAGCGGTTTCACCCCACTGCCCACCCCCCCAGCCCCAAACCCGGGAGCAAGAGTGGGATGGGGTGGAGTGGGGAAGGGCAGCCCTCACCCAGCGTGGCCAGCACGTGGCGGAGCTCCGCGCCCATGACGGTGCCGTTGCCCTCCTTGTCAAAGACCCGCAGCCCCTCCACGAAGTCCTCGTAGGTGCCCGTGTCCTTGTTCTTGGAGATGTGCTGCAGCATGGGCAGGAAGGTTTCGAAGTCCATCATCTTGGAGCTGAGTTCTGCAGAGAGAGGGGTCCGGAGCCCCCGGGCAGCGTGCTATGACCCCTCCCCTGCAGTGCGCCATTCACAAAGCCCCGCCCAATCCCCAGGCGCTTCACTGCCGGCCCCGAGGTGCGCTCTCGGTGGAGATCATGGTAGTGCAGTGGTTAAAGCACGCGGTCTGAACGGTCTGCTTGCATAAGGATCAAGGCAAACAAATTCAAGGTCATCGAGTTTGACACATAGAGACCCTTCCTCCTCTGCCCCGCCCCTACCCCGAGGGTTTCCGAGACTGTAACTGTTCACGGGAGGAGAAAAGCCAGTTGGTGTCCCACCCCAGAGCGGCTGGTGGTTTCGAACCGCCGACCACGCGGGTCACGCTGATCACAGCCCGCTGCGTAACCACTCCGCCAACAGGGCAGTTCCTCTCTGACCCGCCAGGCGCTATGAGTCGGAATGGGCCTGGGAACAGAGGGCGTGGCCGGGTTGCCCTGGGAAACGTCCCCATTCAGACAATGAGAGGATGGATGGTCTCTGAGGTTCACGTGGCGGGACCTTGGGCTGAGCGCACCCACCTTCCTGCTTCGGTTTCCCCAGGACGCGGAGCACCTCGGCTTGCGTGGGGTTCTGGCCCAGCGCGCGCAGGACGTCCCCACACTGCCCGTAGGTGATCTTCATCTCACCCTTGGGTGTGCGGTCAAACAGCATGAACGCTTCCTTGAACTCTGCGCGGGAGAGGGCAGTGAGCTGTGGGCGCTCCCGGAGTGAGGCCCACGTGCCGGCAGGAACTCAGAGCGCAGACCCCCGGCTCACCACCTTGCACCCCTGGGCTGGAGACCCCTACTCACCTTCGATCTGCTGTGGCGTGAACTCAATCTGCAAGGAGAACCCAGAGGCGGTGAGCGGCTGGCTCCGAGGGTGGGGCCTGGCCACCGGGTCGCGCAGTGGTCCAGACCCAGGCCCCACCCCCTTGACTGCCCAGCCTGTCTCCCACTTCAGTCCCCCAGCCTCCAGTCTCCTGCTGGCCTCTGACCCCCTCGCCCGGCCCTCTGAACTGGCTAAAGGCCTTGACTGCGCCTGGGCTTGGAGCTGGGATGGTGGGGAGGAGAGAAGCCTGTAGCCCCCAGTCCCCAGCCAACGGCAAGTGTTACCCGAGGCCCGTTTCTGGGAAGATGTGCCCGCAGCCACAAGACCTAATCCAGGCAGCCTTTCCACATTCCCAGGTCAGCACATCACCTGAAACACAGGCCCAGAGATGCCAGGAGGAGACAGGGTGAAGTTGTGCCCACAGGGCTCTGTCCGCACAACGGCAGGGCTGCAGGCGGCATGTCCACGGTGCGTGCTGCACGTACACCCGTGCGCCCGTGCATGCATCAGCGGCAGCATGGGTTACATGCTCTGACCTTCACGGAGACTCCCGCCCCTCTGGCTTGGGAGCCAGCACTCACACGGCTGGCTCTGCCTGTGCCCGAGTCTCACCGTCCCCACCACCCAGTCCCTGGAGCCCAGCACAGCCCCAACTTCAGCACAGCACAGGGCTAGGGCAGTGCTACTGGGTGCTAACTGAGAGGCCTCCTGGGGCTGGGTGTCCCCCTCCTCACGGGATACCAGATCTATATTTATCACTGCAGTCATTCGCCCAAGGTCAAGGTCGAAGGAGGAAAAGGAGCTTGGGGGCGGGGGCATGCCTGGCACCAATCCCATTAGCCTCCATGGGGCATACCAGTGGGGGCGGGGGCACACCCTCCTGTTCCTTCCCCCTGAGCCCCTGCCTCCCCAGTCCTCATTCCTGCTCTCTCCACGAGGAAGCCTGCCGAGAGACTCCCTGCCCGAGGCTCCACAAAGCCTCCCTGGCAGGGAGGGCCGTCCCCCACTCCCAGAGGGGCCGTGCGCTGCCTCAGACTGAGTAGTGCCACCACGAGGAGCCCTCGACAGGGCCTGCAGACGAGAAGTCAGCCTGAGTCTGGGAGCTGTGCAAGGGAAGGGGGCTGACTCTGGGGTGCTCCTTCCATGAAGGGTCCCCAGCCGGGGGAGTGGGGCATATCCTCCTCCCTCGCAGCTGAGGCACCCAAGGCTCCAAGCAGCAAGGTGCAGCCAAGGGAGCCGAGGTGGGATTCGAAGCTGTGTCTGGAGGGGCATGGGCAGGTGCCTCTAGAAAGGGCTCCTCCTGAATAGGAGGCAGTCTGTGCAGAGTGGGTGCAGGTCTTTCCGGGGGCAGAGGAGAATCCCACGGGGTTTCCCAGGCAGCCAGGGCAGCCGTGGCCCAAGAGCGGGGACAGGCGGGGTGCGTGCTGCTATGTAGATGCCACAGGTGGCTGTCATGGCTCGTCCTCCAAGTTTAGATTCTGGGAAAGGCTGTCCAACGGGGAAGGGCTCCAAGGGCCACAAGTCACAGCTCTGAAACCCGCTCCCGGAGTGATCTTCTGTAAGTCTCTCCCAGCCCATGCCTCCATGTCCCCACTGACAGCGGAGGTCCAGGAAGACTGTGCCGGCTCTGAGGCTCTGTGATTTTAGTGGGATGAGTGTGGCCCAGCCTGGTCAGGGGTCCTGTGTCCCCCATCCTCCCACCCCACCCACCCTTGGGGACCTGCATGGACTCGGATGGCGGGCCAGACAAGGAGGATCTCTGCTTGGCTGCAGGTGTGGTGGTGACAGGTGGCTCCAGGGTTCCCCAGGATGTGAGCCGTCCAGAGGAAAAGACAAGGGAGGATCCATTTTCAGAGTCCCCCACCCCCACCCCAAAGACTCTCCTTTGAAACCCCAGCCCAGATTCCACCCCCATCATACATCGTGTACTCGGAGCACTGTGGGGAGTCCTACAGGTTGTCTGACTACCAGCCCTTTTGCTGCAGTCCTCCCAAAGTCTGAGCTCCCAGAGCTGGGCTCATCTCTCCAGAGAAGCTTCTCACTTCAGCTGACCCACTGTTGGGCCAGCCCAGTCTGGGGTCCACTCGCCCATCCTACCTTTCCGGCCAGCTCCTGTCCCCAGCTCAGGTACCCACCTTGATCTTAGAGGCATCGAATGCCACCTCCTTGGGGCGCTCGGGCTCAGGCGCCGGAGCTGGAGCTGCAGCTGGCGCTGCAGCTGCCTTAGGGGCTGCCTTGGCCTCCTCCTTCTTGGGGTCTGGCTTTTTGGGGGCCATGGGGACTCACGAGCACCAAGAGCCTGTAGGTGCAGAGGAAGGTGGGTGAGTGTCCTGCACCGGGCTTTTTATCCTGCCTGTCATCCCCTGACCCCAGCCCACCCCCACAGTGCACAATAGGGACAAGGCCATAAAAGGGCACTGGCTAGGCCTAGGCGCAAGGGCTATTTTGGGGCCTGGGAAGGGCATTGTTCAGGAATGGGTGGGGGGAAGGGGGGGCTCTCTGCTGCTCCCAATCACCTGTTTGGAAGTGGGAGGGGGAGGAGAGGCCTGGGCCCTGCGCACACCCTCACAGGGGCATGCACACTCAGGCCCTGCTGCCCCTCCGCAGTCACTAAGTTGAACAGGTGAAGGAGCCTGAGCCAAGTGTGTGCTGGGGTTGTGTTGGGGACAGCGGACTGGGCAAGCACAAGGGTGTAGTTTGAATTAAACTTCCTATCTGGGCATGGATTCTGTGTGGGTGTCCTGGGAGGGGGCACTGCATGGCTCTGTGTGTCTGCAGGGAGTCGGGGGAGGGCAGGGGAGGGAGTTCAGGGGGTAATGTGCAGATGTCTCTGTGTGTCCATATGTGTGTTGTCTGCATCCAGGTGCTTCCACGTGCACAGGGTGCTGTCTGGGGATGTCTAGAGGTCTACTTGCAGGGGTCTGTGTGTAGCTGGCCATTGTCTGTGTCCCTCTGAGTATCGTGTGTGTGTGTGTGTGTGTGTGTGTGTGTGTGTGTGTGTGTGTGTGGTTGGGGTTATGTCTGTACTGCCCTGTTCCTTGGTGAGGGGGTGGCCTATATATGCTAGTTGTGTCTGCGCCCGGATCTGGTGTTGGCATAGGGGTGG